CGGAGATTGTGATCGTGAAATCGAGCTTTCGAACTGTAGAGTTGAAGACCAGAGCATTGGGATTTAGAGATACAATTGTACCAAATGGAGGCTCAATGGTAGCTCTGTAAATGGATTCAGGGGCTCCCACATTTGTTACACTTCTTTTTATTGTGATGGGATTTTTGAGACTTGGTATGGTTATGGAGGGTAAGTTCATGTCAAGGATAGAAGGCTTCTTAATGGGACATTTTGTGTTCTGCCCTACAAGCCTAGAGATGGCAGAGTTGTTGTAGCCCCTTGCACAGAGATATTGCATGTAGCCGGCTTTGCCTATGTCATATACTAAACCAGGGTCTGCTGCTCCATTGGGGTTCATAATGCCGCCTCCAAAATCGAACGGATTTGCCAGCTTTTGAGGCGATCCCTCTGCGAAGATCGGTAAACCAGACGGGCCATTCCTCCATGCTGCATGAAAATTTAGAACATGGTTAAGTTTAGCATGTATCGTCAATGAAATTAGGAACATGTGATCATGTGGTTACCAGTTGTGACAAGTGCCGATTTAATGGCTGCTGGAGACCAATTGGGATGCATTGCTTTGAGAAGAGCCACAATGCCCGCGACATGAGGAGTTGACATTGATGTTCCTGAGTGCATGACATATCCACCCTCCCCTAGTGCATCAAGTGGAGAAGTTGCAGCCAGAATGTTCACACCAGGGGCAGCTATATCTGGCTGTCCAACAGAAAAATAACAAGAAGATGATCTAAGAAGAGTTTTATGGTGAATCTTGAAGCGAAATTGGAGCATAGACATGGACTTCTCTCTAAATTTGAAGAAGGAACTAGCTAATGTTATAGGAGACAAAACTTGAGAGCTTTCCAGTAACATGAAGGAAAAATAGATGATCTCTTGAAGAACATGTTTAGTGTTCAATTTACTAAAACTTTCGGAGGCGAAATTTCACTTTGTTGTCTGGTTTTTGTAGGTGTCCAGGGTAAGTAGAGAAAGATTTATGTGGACAAGAACTACATAGGCCCCCTGCCTTTTATATATTAAACATTTGCATTCAGTGTAGTGTGGATGCATACCTTAAGAATTGCTGGTGTAATGGAGTTTGGACCCCTAGATGAAAAATAAGCCACCTTGGCTGAGAGTGGCTTGCCAATAAATGTTTTAGGAGGTCTCAATTTTACAAGAGGAGATCTGTGCATTCCAAACAAAACTTGAGGATCACAAACAAACCTAGCCATAATAATCGCGGTGTCAACAAGGATGATAATTAATCGATGTTACCTGGTAGACCGAATGTAAAACAGTATTCGGGTGCCAATTTCATAGTCAACTTCAATGCATGGGAAGTCTTCATTACATGGATATAAGGCGTCACTTGGATTCTTTGCTACAATGAGGCCAACACCGCCGGCTTCTTTCACAGCTGCTGAAGCACTTGTTATATCTGTCCTAAGACTGACTGTAGTGAAGCAAAGAACCACCTTTCCAGCTACCATAGTTTTGTTAAGTGACAGGAATTGGCACACACTGCAA